TAAAAACTTCGGTCGCCATTAAATGGCATGGGCTGATCTTGTCCTTGGCTCCATGTTTCCAAGCATTCCACTCACTCAGGGTCGGGCCACGAAAAAGCCAGACGAGGGTTAGGAATTGGAAAGGGAGCTGCTCAGGGTAGGTTTTCAACCTCTGCTTCGGAGTTAGCATCATACAAAAAGTCTTCATCATGGTGATCATTCAAGGGGGAAAAGGATGATCAGTCTCTGGTTATTCTCCAAACCAACAAGCTATGACTTCATTCGGAAGGTACTCGTTGCCGAGGGGATGGAGTCCAACTATGTTTTCTATGCGAGAATTTAGGGTAAGAGAATAATTATTAGACGAACTATCTAGATAATCATTTAGAAAATCTTCATCAGTTACATTGCTATTTGTGAAGTGCATACTAGCTATGTGTAATCTAAACATGATAGACCTTCGAATAAGTGACCTTAATTCCAAATTCACACAGAATAAGGGTAAGGCAAAATTATCACAGATTCTAAGTCTATAACATCCTAATTACATATAGCTTCAGGGTATCCACTTAGCAACTATCAAATTAGTAATGAAGATCCCGTTTTAAATTCTCAAGTATAAAGTACTTCAAATACACCAAATACTCCTATAGTATTTTAAATTTTTAATGTTATGTTCTATTGTTCTCACTGTGGTAGGGTTGGTAAGATTTTAGCATTATTGCAACCACACACTTAAACTTAGGCACATGCTAGTCAACTCTCGGATAATATAGGTGATCAGGCTATATCTTCCCAGTTTTGACCATATGTCTCTAAGCCCACTTGTGTTGCCTAACAATCGTAATTCTTTTGTACTGTCCTAGTGACACTGATTTTAGTATGAATGCAGCACGTATACTTACTTAAATATTTTACTATTTAAAGTATAAACTCTTGGTCAGAGTATTTTTAATCCCTTATGTATTTATAGTTAGTATATCTTTTATGGGTTGATATACTTAATTCACTATAAACAATGCTCTGATACCAATCTGTCATACCCCAAAACCAAGAATGGCGGAAACGTTCTGGGGTGGAGGACGTCATGTACAGTATCACAACAATGAAAAGTAGTAAACAAGCAACAACATCATCCATTGCATTAATAATATAATTATTATACAAATGTGTTCTGTCAAATTTTGATAAACACTAAAGCATAAATCAAAATGAAAGATAAGTCTTGAACAAGCTCCATCTTCCTTTCTCCTTGCATCGGTACCTGTCTATGATGACCTGAGGATACAAGAAATTTTGAAAACGAGTATCAGCTTTGAAGCTGGTGAGATCATACGTATTTAGTGTCTTAATTTGTATGTAAGAATTTGTATGTGAAATGTAAGTATGAAAATGTTTGTAAAACAACTGTAAACGTTTGAAAAGCCTTAGAAATCCCTATGATTCCTACTATTATATAAAGTGCGTCTTCTACCAAGACCTAACTGTTCTAAATATTCGTTTCTTGTAAAAGTGTGTAATTTTCCCAAGTGTAATTATCATTATCAAAATATAGTTTTTACATTTATAGTTTAAGTGAAAAGATCACTAAATATCTGAACACGGAAAATTAATGTAGTAATAAAACGTAGCGCTATAAGAACTACTGCTGTACTAATTACCTTAAACCGGATTTTATATTAAGGCATTATGTGATAAATTACACCATACTATAGATTGGTAACAATGACAACGTATAGTCGAAAATAAGGTATGACGTTTGGCACCTACAGACCTGCCGGTCCTGCTGTAGCTAGCAGCAAGGTGTAAGATAGTCAATCCAGTATAGATCTATACACAAACTCACGCTCTCCCCTCAATAGACTCTGGATACAACCTGGGGCATGGCAATTAAGGCATGCTTCCATACACTGGATCACAATTTTATTGGCGTATTAATGTAAGTGTAATGCAACAAACTATTCTATCTGTAATGTACGTGCTCTCTACCTAGCAAGTATAGTAATGTACTGTAATGTTGTAGAAAGTATTGACTCATGAATGAACTGACTCATTGAATGATATCGTGTTCTAGTAATAGTTCTAGTATTTTCCTAAACTACCCAAATGGTAGCTTACTAGTAATCTATGTGGTACGTATGGACAAGGATGTATACCCTTGCTACCCAAGGGCATGGGATGAACTGGAAGGACCTTTTATGACTATATATGTACACATGATATATAACTAATATTTAAACGACTTTCGGACGAGTACCCTATATCCCACCAGACCACATCTCAAGCGCGAAAAGGAAATAGGGTGGATACCCTTCCTAAGTCTTTTAAACATTTCTTATATAATTATACATATAGAGGCATGCAATTTATAATATAAAAGCATAAATAAGTTTTGTAAGACATTTGAAACATAAATATTATTTTAAGAAAAGATCGACTTGATGTCAATCTATAAAATAATTTGAAGGCATAAGTTTTGGTAAAACAGTTTCGTATAAAGAAACATTTGGTTGAAACACTATTGTAAATAAGTTTGAAATGTAATATACAGAGTAAAATGTACAGTGTAATAAGGAGTTTAAAACATATAAAATGTTTATAAAAATCATTTGAAGGAAACTGTTTGGTAAAACGGCTAATGAGTAGCCAAATCATTTGAATGTTGTATATTAATCACATGTGATTGATGTAATAACTAGCATAATTCTACTTATTAATCACATGTGATTGATATAATAACAAGCATGTTTCTACTTGTATCCCCCCATAAAACATTTAATTATAGTTTAAAACATTAGTTAAGGGGTATGAATTCACCTGCAGTAAGTGACTGGAATTGAACAGACTGTTATCATACGGAAGGATCGGACAGGTGCTTGGTGTCAAGTGAAGACTTAGACACACACAATGATCCTAATTACATATGAAGACATATGTATATAAATAATTAGAGATTAAATCACTAATTATACAAGTATAAACATTTAAACGCGAGGAAAACACTTTTGGTCAAGTGCTAGGAGGCTAATGGGTTGCAACAAAGGAGTGCAATGCCCCTAATGGAAGTTCATGGTCAAATGACCATATGATTTGGAGTTTACGGCCTTAGGACCATATTCCCTTGGAGTTTACAGCCGTAAACTCCCTTGGGAGGGTTTTTATGGTGCTTTCAAGTCTCTAAATTAACTAGGAACAAATCTAGGTTTTGGTACTTGGCTTTAGAAGAGTTTATGGCACATTTGGCACCATTTGATGGAGTTTACGGCCCTGGAACCTTTTGGGTCGTAAACTCCCTCACTCATGGAGTTCTAAGTGTTTTAACTAGTCCATAACTCATTTAGGTACATGCCCAAATTTGTCTCTTGGCTTAAGGAAGGATTTAGGGTGTCATTTGACCCCTTTTTAGGTGTTTACGGCCCAAGAGTTTGTCTTGGACGTAAACTCCTTTTTCCTTGTGATTTCTTATGTTTGCTAGGCTATAAACACTTTAGGGTACTTGTCCTAATTTAATCTAATCCTTAGGAAGTGTTTCAAAGCATTTTGGCACTTAAACCTTGGAGTTTACGGCCTAAGAAGCTCCTTGGCCGTAAACTCCCTTCTAGCCATGATTCCTAATTGTTTTGTGGTATAAAGCATGAATTGGAGGCTCCTAGTTCGTGTTCTAAAGCTTTGAGGGTCATTGGAACCCTTTAGGACCTTAAAATGGAGTTTACTCCCCAAGAACGTTCTTGGGCGGTAAACTCCCCGATCTCACATATTTGGCATGTAATCTATGTTATTAGGCATAAAACAAGCATAAAAACACAACTAGAGAAGTGTACTCACAATTTGGGATAAAAACCCGAAGATTCGTGAGAGAGAAAACGGCTTTTCTCTAGTTGGAATTGTGAAAAATGAATGAATTTAGTTCAGAAATCTATTTATAGTCTTGAAATATTTTTGGCAGAAAATATTTTTATTCCTGGAACGAACTCTAATGTCCTAGAGTCTTGGGATAACAGTGTTGCACAAAACCCTAGTGCATCCACTCTCCTAATATCTCCTTAAGTGTAAAATCCTGAAAACTGCCAAACTCATACTCGAAATCTGAATTTACATTGTAACTGTTCTATATCTATTGGGTTGATATGGTTTGTTCAGAATAGAAATTTCGGGTTGTCATAGAAGTCCCATTTAAACAGTTCTACAAGCGCCCTAATCATGGCCATTAAACAAGGCAAAGGCAAGAGGAGAAAGTTCTATTCCCAACCCAAGTGGAAAGGGAAAACCCATAATGGGGAGTCCAGTGGGTCAAAGGGAAATGCCAACTTTGATGCTCCTTTTTTCCATTATCTTAAAGAATCAATTTACTTTCATTATAGCTAGAAGGGACATGAGAAGAGAAGCTACCCAGAGTACCTACAAGATGTGACAAAGCTTAAGGGAAAAGTGTCTGGCTCTTCATCTAGTATGTACTATATTGAAATCAATAACACTTATGTTTCAAAATCTTCGATCCATAATGAGCGTCGTAAAAGGCTCAGACGACGCGCAAATGCGCGTCAAGGAAGGCCCTGTCATAAAGAGAGATGACGCGCATTTACGACGCTCATTTACGACGCGCAATTATGCCGCGCGTTTACGACACGCAATGCGTGTCAAGGAAGGCCCTGTCATAAAAGAAGATGACACACATTCGCGTGTCGTAACCTTACGACGCGCGTGTTAATGACACGCAATGCGTATCAAGAAAGCCCCTGTTAAGAAAGGCCATGTCATAAATGAAGATGACAGACATTTTTGCGTATCATAATTTTAAATGTTTAAAAAAAAATATTATTTATAGATTTGCTTATTTTCAAATTAAATTTGTATTTAATGTTTAATAATAGATAATAAAATATCATATACAAAAATAGAATCCATTGCATAAATTTAATATCATACAAATAATCGTTCCATGGAAGATAAAACAAATTAATAGAAGTTGTAACAAAAATTTACAAACAAATGGTAGCAAATATGTTATCAAAATTCCTACATTAATTAGTGCTAAGCTCTGATCCTCCGGTTGAATTCTGCAGTCAGGAAACGATTAAGACAAGTACACATTATTATAAAGTTCATTTATGATCCTCAAATAAAAAATCAAGCAACTACATATATTATTGGCCATGAGAGAAGTAACCTTATAACAGATCTCAAGAAGCACATTGTTGCGAGCTGCCTGCAGAAAACCATGGCAAACATAAAGACATGAGCATGAGCTTTGTTGTTGCTTTCATAAAAAAATGAACTTATTCTACAGGTTATAAGATATAGTATAAATTTTTAACTTTTAAGCATTTTATAGCTAGCATAAAGTAGAATTTGGAATCATTAAGAATATAATGAGTACTTTGTTGTTGGAAGAAGCCTAACCGTTGCATAATATTTTGACTCAAAAAGGAAAATGTGGCAAATTTACCTGTACAAAGCTAGAGACAGAAAGAAGTGGCTTCTCTCCAATCTTCTGATTTCTATCCTGAAAATTAACAAAGAATTTAGCAACTTGTAAGGAATAAGGGAAAAAGTACTACACTAAGTTCAGAACTTAAAAATCAATTAAGATAACATGCAAATAATGAAAGCAGAATACCTAATAACTAGGCCAACAAGTTAGCATCATATATATTCAGGTGTAAACAGATGAAAGATAAGTTTAGGTCACACAAAAGTTTTCCAAAACAAAAGCAGAAGATAAATATAATAAAATTAAGAAATGAAGAACATACATGTATTAGAAGCATGACAAGTGCAAGATAACTTTTGCAACTTCTGTCAGAAAGTTAACACTGATGGGGCTAAAATTGAATCTCCCATCAACCTTGGACAAGTACACCAAAATCGGCTGTAAAAGATGATCAATTTAGTGAGGTATTGATCAATTATGTAACATGGAAACATTACACAACTAACTATACCTAAATATTATCCGGTCAACGATGCATGGAATTTAAAGAGTTGTTTATGTTATGTGAAAGATATGTACTATAAATAGATACACAAAACACGTTCTTTATCTTGTCTTCCGGGATACAGAACATTTTGCCCTTATTTTGACTTATCTATTATTCTCTTATTGTAATTATGTACTATATACCCTTGTTTAGAAATAAGGTTATTTTGATCATTTTAAATATGACCTAAAATATTACTCTTGTTCAAAACATGTTATTTAAAGCAAGAATGAAATTAACCTAATTTATCATGTCACTGAGATAAAACTAGAGAAAAGAAATGATGAAAATACACTTGTGTGCATAACAAGAGCAGAATCAACCTAATTTATTTTGGGTGGAACGTGAACAGGGGGTCGACCAGGAAAAGGGTTAGCATGGGGATGTGATTTAAGTTATGATTATGTCAAAATTAATTATGCAACCTTTTTAGGCCCGGACAGTCTTGATATATGCTGGTCAAGCAAATGCAGCCATTGTAATTTTTTACTTAACTTTTTTGTTTCCCGTGATGTAAAATGACGTAAATGAACACAATGTGGTTTACACTTTACATACATTGGAAAGGGCATATGAGCAGTCTATTACATCTTGGTAACCTGCATCTGTAAGGGCATATACGTCATTTTACATCACGGGTAACAAAAAGCTATGTAAACAATTACCGTGGCTGCATTTGCTTGAACAGCATTTATCAAGACTGCCCGGGCCTAAAGAGGTTGCATAATTAGTCTTGACATAATCATAACTTAAATCACATCCCCATGCTAACCCTGTTCCTGGTCCATCCCCTGTTCACGTTCCACCCAAAATAAACAAATAAATAACACAAGTTTCTTTTTGATTTAATGCAGAAAGAATGACTTAATAATAAAGTTACCTATGGATATCTGAATTTTGACAGTGCCATGAGCATCACCAGCCTCTTTCAGGTAATTACTAGCTGCTGCCCTGGAACACTCCCACATTTTCAGTATTTCAATTATCATGTATCATGTATCATGTATGGTGTTACTGTTACCTATCAAATGGAAGTGGCTGGCCTCCTTCCATAAGTAGAATATCTCCAAGTGCTATTCTAAGGGCATTTGAGTCAAAAAAAATCCCCACACACCCTACAGCACAGGCTATCCGCCCCCAATTTGGATCCCTACCATAAATTACCACCTGATAAAACCAACCATAAAAAATCATCATTATATCATTGGAAGTAGTTATTTCACCTTGAAATAACAACATATTAACCATCATGCCTTGGTAAGTGAAGAAGATGCCACTGAACGTGCAATCTTTGCTGCTTCACTTTCACTCCCTGCACCACTTACTATCACCTGCATAATTTCTCATTTCCATAAATATCCTTCTGCCCTCCTGCCCTCCCCCCCCACCAAAAAAAAGACCTCTATCAAACATGTTGCCCCTTCTCCATCCCATGCTATTGATTTGGCAAGCCCTTGCATTACCTTAACAAAAAAAAAACACTTGTAAAATGCATGTAACAACAAAAGGGTAAATTGGTAATTTAAACATACCGCATCAAGGCACATTTGTAGTTGGTTTCCTTCAGAACTGTGTAATGATGATATCATGTTTGATCCAGATAAACCACTAGCCAAAGCAATAATGGTATCATTGGTGCTAGTACCCCCATCTACCTGCAATATTTTAGTTATTAATACACACATGTCACTGTTGGTTAAACGACTAAAATACCCTTTAATGATGCTACTACTTATAGTAATTTGGTTGAAACTTCGATTCACAGCAACCTGAACCATCTTTCGCTAGATGTCAGTATCTACACGAGCATCAGTCGTTATAACCTAAAAATTGACATTTTTTTTTAATCAATTAAAATTTTTTTACAAAACATTTTGTGGTAATAAATTAATAATATGGCAATATTAGTACATACACCAAGAAGTGTTCCCATGTTTAGGTTGATCATTCCGGAACCTTTTGCCATTCCCCCGATCATAACAGAGTTGAACCACCACTCACCAAGTGTTGATGGAATTCATGTAATAGTTACGTTAGCGAAGTTGTCAGTGGACAAAGTCCTACCAGCACCATGCAAAGTGTTGATGGAATTCATGTAAAGCGCCCTCCGTGTTTTTAATTTTTTAGTGAGACGCTAATTAAAGGGCACGCAAAAATGCGTGCCCTCTATCCTTCAAATTTTGGAGGGCTGACATTATTTTTAAGGGTACACAAAAATGTGTATCGTAAATCAGCGAGTGTCATTGTTTGCACGTCATTAAAGGGTATTTTTCTTGTAGTGAGGGAAAAGCAAAGAGGTGGAGCATGGAAAGCTAAACCTTATCACGGGGAATTGGAGAAATTCGACTGTTACCAAGATTAGAATTTATGAGCTTGTGTTAGATAATAGTGTTAGGGTTGATTTAAACAATTGCTATTATTCTTGAGAAATGAAAAGAAACATAATTTCAACTCATGCTTTATTTAGACAAGGTTATCATTATAGTTTGGATAATAATGATGGTGCAATTTTAGCTTTTTAAAAGTGGTGAATTTATTTTCAAAGCTTATAATTGAAATGTTGTGTATGAAACTGTTGGTGTGTAAATGAAAAAGGAAATATTGTCTTTTGTATTGATTCTTTGAATGGTTTAGACAAGGCATCTTTATAACATTGTCATCTTGGGCATATTAGCAGGAAACGAATCACCCAACGCCAAAAGGATGGAGTGTTGGAATTGTTTGATCTAAAGTGAGATGATGAATATGAATCTTGTTTATTGGGCACGATGAATAAATCACCTTTCATTTGTTTTGCATCTTTTATTTCCTGAATATTAATTTATTTGAAATGCCATAGTCAGTTATGCTTTACGATTAAGTATCGATTTAAGATTTTCTTTAATTGATTGCAGATTATCCATAGACATTGGACATACCATAGGGATTGGTGCAATATTTATGCGTACTTAGAAAATGGAGATTTTAAGTATTGGTTAAACTCATGCTTAGAGAATACTTCATGGATTTAAATCACAATTGATTCTAAGATGATAATATCATATATTCTTAAAACAGAGATATATAAGTCATAATTTGAGAATCTCTTGTGCATTGTTTTACACCAACGCATCTTCAACTGGATGTTATAAAGTGTAATTCCATGTATGCCTAGATGAGTAAAATGTATGATTATATAGTCAAAGTTTATTCTTTCCTTTTTACTTTTAAGAAAAAGTGATATCTTAGGGCCTCTCGGTGATTTAATGTTGACAATATAGTGATGGGCCCAACCGAGGCTAAATTGATGTGTTCAATTATTAGTCTGATAACATCATCACAAATCGGGAAATTGAGAAAAAAAAAATCTTGGACCATGAAATTAATCCTAATCCATGTATTGTGTCCATATGATATCAAGATAAACAAAGGGAAAATTGATCACTTATCTTGGGGCTAACATAATCTGATAAGAGTTTAGTAGTGTCTTTGGAAAACACACTTTACTGGTTATTCGAAGTTATACCGACATTTATAGTTAGCGACTTATATAAGTGGGAGACTGTTGGATCAAGTGGCTAAGGTCTTAACTAAATTGGTATAATCTTGATGAATAAAATTAAAGTCCTTTTTTAGGTTCCTTTATAATTAGGAAATATCTTGGATTGATAATGAAAGAGAGATAAATGATTTATTAATATATTATATGATCAATATATTAACTGGAAATAGTAATAATTCATTAAGAATTAATTAAAATTAATTTGTAATTAATTATGGGTTAGTTAGAATTAATTGGAGGTACAAGGATTGATTATAATTATTCAATAGTTGAGCAAAGAAAAATATCTAGAACCTTCAAAGAGGTGGATGCTTTTAAGGTGGTCTTTTAGGGTTTTTGGAAGCCTCCTACTCTTAGTCGGATAAGGAAACAAAATTTGAATAGGGATAGAATGCTATTATTCAATTATTTAAATTTAGGGTGTCTAGGGTATATGGCAAGTATTAATTGGTGTGTACCCTAAAAAATTCATTCACTCCTCTCATACCTCAAGAAATTCGATTTTCTCCTCTCACCTCTCTCTTATATCCGATCCTCGGGCTTCCAATGGTTTGGGGTTTGACGCATTAGAGGCTACCATACAATTGGAGCTAGGTTTTCCAAGGATACTTCAAGAGTTTGATTAGCTTAATTTGAAGTAAGCAAAGGTATGTTCTACTCATGATTTCAATTATCATAGGTTGCTAGTTCTGTTCACAACGCCTGTTGCTATTAATATCTAAAAACCATATATCTTTTTAGGTTGCATGTACCCATAAGTTTTATGTGAAATTTCGCAAGTAGAATGTTATTGTAACCTTAAAATCCCTATAAATAATTGTCACTTAGGAGTTAAAATGTTTAGATTAGACTACAATGAATAGATTAGACAAGAAAGAGTGTAATGCAAAAAGAATTAGGTCATTTGGACCTAAATGGAAGACTTATACCGTTTTAAAAATGGCATGTTGCAAAATTTTAGTAAATTTATGTCTAGCAGCCCAAGTTTGAGGCTATAGAACTCAAATTTAAATCTAGTAAACCATGTGATTCTTGGTTCCAACCTTTATCCAAGACAACAAAGAACACGTAGATAAAATAAACATCTTAATATGAGTTCATAAAAAATATTTATGAGTGTTCAAAGTTGAAAAAAAAATTGCATTGAGTTGTAATACATAATTTTCTAAGTCTGTAAGATTAAAGTGTGTAAGTATCCATATTTAGGGATTCTTTACTCTATTTATACTTATCAAAATATATTGATTCTTAAGCCTAACATGTTTTGAGAAATTAAGGAAGGTGTAAAAAATAATTAACTCATTTAGAAGCCATAAATTTAAGTTACAAGGGTTTAAATTTGATTACAAACCAAATCGGGATGCTATCAAATAGTTGACAATTGACTTATAAGCATGGTCGAACCTGAAAGCTACTATAGCGACATCAAAAACTCTGAGAAAAAACAATTTTATTAAAGTAAGATGTGAAAGTGATAATTTTTTTAAAAATTATCAGAATAAAAGTTAGTTTAAATGATGTGTTTGGCTTAATATCACGTCTAAAACACTAATGGATGAAATTTCATCTAAAGTAACAATTAATAAAACAGTTAAAACACAGGAACAAACATATTTGAAAAGATAGGACAAAAAGGCTAAATTGCCAAAGATAATTGTCATGCTTTTATGAATCATGTTTAACAATTGAAACGACTATAAGATTATATTGAAATGACAATAATGAAATATTCAAACTATACTTATGATATTAAATATAAATATATGATAACAAAGAAATACAATCCAAAAGTCAAAATATGAAAAATACCTAAAATAACTATAGATCAAGAGACATGTTTAGCCATGGAAAAAAAGTTTGGAATGACGTTAAAATGAATATACTAACACATCCATGACATAATTAACAGAATCAAAATGTATTGTTTAAATGAAGTAATTCGGTAAAAATAATCAACATCATCAATATACCTCATTAACCTATTAAAGGTAAGGGGATGTGGACGTTAGTAGTCATGTCCCGTGGAAGAGTGACTGCTTCATATAGATTTCCCTTGGACATATGACAAATACCAACCTATATAATAAAATAAAGTCATTACTAACAATAAGATTAGAGAAAAATACATGCACGATAGTCTAAGATGTTACAAACTACACATACTACTATAATATAAGTAAGGGATCTTAACCTACTTAACTAACCTAATACTAAGATGGTGTTTGGTTTTTGTTTGCAGATCTTCTTGACCTCTCTACGCTGTGGATACAATACTCAAATATTAGCATTTATAGACTGTTTAATTTAAGAAGACCGTAGACCTACAAAAGTTTGTGCATCCTCTTTTTGGCGTAGATTTATATTAGAGTTTCTAATATCTCGAGATATCTTCGTACCTAAAAAACACCATTCGAATTAATATTTTTTGTTCGAATGTTTTTTTTTTTGTTCAAATGCCTCATTTATTTGTAAACTCTTTGAATTTTAATATTTATTGATCGAACGCCTCATTTTTTTTTGTGACATCATCAAGCTTTAATATATATTTTTTTCAAATACACACACAAATATATATATATATATATATATATATATATATATATATATATATATATATATATATATATATATATATATATATTATAATATTTTCCATTTATCTAAAACAAAATATAATAAATATTAGATATACCCATTAATTTATACCATTTACTTTTATTCTTTTTATGTTACAACATATTGTTTAATAATTGACCTAATTCTCCTTTTGTCAAATTTAAGCATATACATTAATATAATATATGTCACAATAACAATTCAAATAAAAAAGTGGTTATGAAAAATGAAAGTCTCATACAATAATACATTAAATTTGATTTAGATTTCTTAACTATTTATAAGAAAATAAAAAAGGGTTAAGTTTGAAATGTAACATCTTGCCCTTCTAGGTATTTACCTTTTACCCCCTTGGTATTCAAATTGTTTGCAAAGTGTCCCACATTGGCATTTTTATATTTTTCAGGACGACATATATACATTGGGTGTACATGTCGGTACGCTGGGGTACCTTCATTTGCTTGAGTATGCTAGGCATACACTGGTATACTGGGCATATGTAGCCTAGAAAAAACCCTAATATTTGAGGTTTGTGCATTATTTAAACACCCTTATAGCCCCAAAACCCTTCCTCTTATCAACCTTCACCCCTCGTATTGACCCTCCTTACAAGCCCTAACCAATTTAGAGCATATTTGAGCTTTTAGAAGTGGTGTGCTCTCAATTCCTTGAATCCAACATTTTCTCTTCATTGTGCACCTTTTGGAGGTATAAATCTCCAACCTTGATGCATGTCTGTCTAGATCTTAGTTAAGCTTGGATTTTAGTCTCTTTTTCCCAAAATCTAAACCTTTGTAATTATGAAATACTCCAAAGCCTTTAAGTTGTCATTTCAGACGTTTTAGGGTATTTGATGTCCAAAAAATGCAAGTTTGGATATTGTTTTGCTTCCATGCAAGAGTTATGGAGTGGTAAATGGTTAAATGAGTTAGGTTTTTGATGTTGGGCTCCTTATAGCCATGAAAAGACATAAAGGTTGCAACTTTATGGCCTTAGACGTTTTATTAAGCTCATATCTAAAATTTGGACGTTACGTATTAAGACAGTGAGGCCTTAATAGAAGAACTCGATCGTCACCGCGTATGTCGGGCGTAGTTATGTGTACCCTATGTGTACTGCAGCTCGACCCCGTTCCTCTTTTCCGCATCAGGAACTTGTATGCGGGGCGTACGACCCAGATTCAACATTTTGAATTTTCTTTTGGGTCTTGGACCATTAGTAGTTGGGTTTTTTAGGTTTGGGCGAATGGGAAGGGCATAATGACCTTTTTTTCTCTTAAGTAGGATATTGGATTATTTGGACGGTTTATTTTGGGTTAGAACCCTGATAATTAATTAGGATTATTTTTGGAATATGATTAGTATGAGGAGACATGTTAGCAACAACTCGAGTGTGTGGTTAATTATCTTCTTTTGAAGGTGAGTATTCTTACTACACTAGTGGGTCGAAGGCACCAATGCCAACCTGCTGATTTATGTGATTATGTGAACATGCTTGATATGCTTGAATGTTATATATATATATATATATATATATATATATATATATATATATATATATATATATATATATATATATATATAGGCAAACTGGACTCTGGATCATTATGGACTCGGAGGTTGATATAAACTCGAGACAACTACATTCTGTCACATGGGGTTGATTCGGACCTGACAGCCACGTGCTTTTATATGTATATGTTTATTGTATGTGGTATTTTGTGGAAGCTCACTAAGATTTGTGATTACAATTTTTTTTTTGTGGTTTCAGGTACTTCAGGTTCAAAAGGAAAAGGGTCTGACATGATCGTAGCGCATCCACCCATGTTCCAAATTTCTTTGTGATTTGGATTATTGAACTCTAATGATTACTCTTATTTTACATACTTTTCTTGAGATTGATATAAACACTTGATTGTTTTTTATTTAATCAAATGAAAATTTTAATCCATGTTTAAAATTTTAATCCATATTTTCAGGGTGTTACAAGTTGGTATCAGTGTCTTGGTTTGAGGGATTTGACACACTTTTGAGTGTGCGAAAACTAAAACCGAGGAAATGTTAATCTTTTCAAAGAGAAATGAATTTCTAAAAGATTTTTTATAAAATAGAAAATGGGTGCGATGCGTTCAATATGCCGATATCACTTAATTAATTCCCAAAATACCCATATTTACGTGTTATGATTTGTATGCCTGATATATGAATTGCATACTAGATTAGGGCTAATGATACTTTCAGGAATCATATGATAAGGTTGCTTGATTGTGAGATGCATTATGGCCTAGGAGATTTGGATGTCATATGTTTAGTTAATTGCTAAGTGTATGCTTTGAAATTTTTATACGATTAGGATCATATAGCCCTAGAATGGTTGACTTAGCCTCTTTTCCTATTCTTCGTTTGGTTGTGGACTTAGGGAAGAATCACCATTCGACAGTCTATGTGATTTCATTATTGTGTATAACTTGCAGGCATAAGGCAACCATCAGTGTTGATTGAGGTCCCCAGTATTGTGAGATAAGGGAGTTGAGGATTCCTAGGAAAGTCTAGGATAGGTATGCTGTTTAGCATAGGGTTGATATATAGTTTGTAATAATTGGTAAAAATCTGTCGGAGTTCGGCGGTCAAGCCACGATGAACAACTATGTATTAATGACCAATTCTATGTAACTTTCTGTTTATAATATATATTAAATATATTATATTTATAATTCCTTTTAAAATATCCCAAACTACTTAAGCTGTCTGTCGCTGAAGACTGAATAAAAAATCAACAAAAATTAACTCAGTTTGTGGCGTTAACAATAAATTTCTTGATTAAGTATATTTGAAAGTTATGGATAATAAAAATGAATAGAGTATGTTCTCATGCCTTTGTGGATATAAAGAATGCCCAAAACGGAGTTTGTATGAGAAAGTTACGCCTATTTGAAGTTACAAAAATCATTATTTATCTGATTTTCCTGAATTAAACCGTACACAACTTCGTTTGGAATAGTTAGGAACCTCGGAAATCACTTTTGAGCACGTTTTCGAATTCAGACTATGGTCTATTATTTTATTATATTTTTATAATTTTTTAACCTCAATCAAAAGCAGATTCGTAAAATCTGTCGAATCCGATCTTATTAATCGCGAAACTTTAAACGTCATATCACGGAGTTCTGTTAATCAGAATTGAATTTCGTTTGTGTTTCTAGAATTACCACGACAGGAATAGGAAGAAAGCATATTTAGAAAAATTTTCATTTGACGGTATGGCAACACGGGAATCAAAAAAATGAGATTTACATCATAAATATGAACTAGAATGTTGTCCCCCCAAAGGTTGGAAGGTGTCATTTGAAATGGTAGCGACAATAAAGTACATTGCTATTCTTTGCAATTCGTCTGTACATTGTTATTTCTTAGATAATATGTTGGCTTAATTGGACGTTTTGACAGTATCATGGATTCAACATTAAGACACTGCAATCTGTCGATCTTTACACCAAAATTTCTCATGGAACCTAATTAAACTCCATCTCTGATTCATATAGCCCCATGTACTGTATCACTGTATCACAAGGAGCATCAACAACTATGAAAAGCTAAAAAAAAATCAATGAATAGATTTTATGAGTTCATGAAGATAAGAAAATCATTTCTATGAAATTGGAAATTGGAAATTGGCAAATTGCTTAACTTGTTAGATATTTACCTGTTTAGTTGCAAGCCATTGTTCAAAAAAACCAAATCTTCATGTTTTTGTCTCTTAAAACTGAAGCATACAAAGGCCTTGGTGATCTGAAATGTTTTTTTTTTATTTTTTTATTTTTTTTATTTTATAATTTTCATGTGAGTAATTTTCTATTGTATTCACATAAGCTTAGGCTAGTATGGACTTCTTCCTTTCCTTTTAACCATTTGATCAATGTTCTTTTTGTTTTTTTTTTTTTTTTTTACCACCAAAGATCAGGTATTTGATTTAAGCCAGTTTCTTTAACAAAAACATTCTAACATCCTATTTGCTATAACACCAATTTACAATGGAAAACTTGAATGTCTTAATAAAAAAAATAATGAAAATAGAAGAGTATATACCAACCGACTTTCCTACTTCAAGAGCACCCTAAATTGCAGTATCCATCACCTCTGCTCCGGTCACTGAGCATGAACATCCCAACATGCAAAACAAAAATATAAATATGGAAACACCCGAATAATAAAGAAAGGTGAATTTAGGATGGTTTTAAGCAGACATAGAGTATATAGCCAAATGTATGGCACTGCTCCATGGGCACTACAATGAGTGTGTAAGAAAGCTATGGACTCCAAAGATTGAAAAAAATTCTTCAAACTAACTTCAAAATTTCTTAGCTGAAGAACCAAGTGGTTTCATCTCAGCCATGTAATAGTAAGTAAAAGTAATCTTAAAGATACAAACCTTTATCAACCTGCCATCTCCACAAGTTACAATGCAAAGTTGCTCGTTTGGATAAGAGAAAGCAAAATTATTAAGATTCCCACCATGAGCCTCAATCTGTATAACCAAATCCAATAAACTTGTGATGATGACATGAATCATAAACATCAAACATATAAAAAAACTGCATTATCATTTATCACCACCTAAAAAGGAAAGCAAACAAAAACTAAAAAAATAATATATATACAAACCTCCAAGTGGTTTCGGAGATCATCACCACCATGATAAGAGTATATCTGTACAATATTCCTCGAGTATGCAACACCTATAAGAAATTTCATAATGATAATGTGGCTAAATTAAAGCGACATACCTGTCTGATCTCCTTTAAATACCCCTTTTTTTTATTTGACTTTTAATTGCAAGATTAGACTAGCCCTTAAAATAGAAAAATTCAAACATTTCCAAATTATGGGTAGAAATACTTACGCCGATATCGTTACCACTGAAGCTAATTGGAATTTAAAATAGGATCATACCTGTACTACTTATATCGGTCAAAGGAGTCCACCTGTATGGGAAGCTGCCAACAATAGACGATAGACAAAGATTCACCACCAGTGAAGGGCACAAAACCTCAAAGAAAATCAGATGAGTTTTGATGTTTACACAAAAATATCATATACCTTCTAATGTTAGTATATCTATAATTGGGTCGTTCCACATAAAACTCCTCATTATTCCCCTCCCGACCTCACTCCTCTCCATCATTCCTATATCCAAGCATTTGTATCATAAATCAACAATAAAAAAAATAGGGTTTTTCTTGTAGGGTTTATAACAACAAAATCAAAGGAATCTAACATCAGAAAGGAATCGAACATGCATAGTGACTTTGGTGCTGTTGTTGCCCAAATTGTGCCTACATATACATTTTTACACTCCATTATATTTTGTCGGGTTGATTATTCAAAAAGTCAAATCTATCATTATGTTGGAAATCAGACAGCAAAATATCAAGCTGCACACTCAAAATATGCAAACTGAATTAAGAATTAGAGGCACACACACTTGAAGAACCTTTTGGAAGTTGTTTATTCTAATGCTGTGCTTCCAAGTAAAACAGGGATCCAAACATTTATAGACTACTACATTGAATGCTGAAATAAAGAGACTTTAAACTAAGAATTGAAACTGAAATACTTTACTACCTGGTTAACCATATTAGCTAATTATATGGTAACCACTTATTCATTCTTTAATGCATTAAAACTAAGTTAAACATGAATCAAATCAGGATTAATTCCAACATTCTCCCCCTTAATCTTGATTTAAGTCTTCAGGTCTTCAACACCCAACAAATTCCGCATTTCTACAAATTTGACTCGTGGGAGTGCTTTGGTCAAGATATCTGCCTTTTGTTCTTCCCCGCTGATGTGTTTCACATCAATTTGCTTCCTTTCAATACAACCCCGTATGAAATGGAACTTCGTGTCAATGTGCTTACTCCTCCCATGGAAAACAGGATTCTGCATAAGAGCTATGGCAGACTTGTTGTCTACGTACATCCTGACACATTCATCCTTCCAACCAGTTAGCTCCTTCAGCAAACTTCTTAACCAGAGTGCTTGGCATGCTGTTGCGGTTGCATCCATGAATTCTGCTTCACACGAAGACAAAGCTACAGTTTGTTGTTTCTGGGATGACCATGTTATTGGATTCCCAGAAAAATAAAACACCATCCCCGTTGTGCCTTTTCTGCCATCAACATCAATTCCAAAGCTGCTATCACTGAATCCAATAAGCCTTTTATCACCACCTTTCTTGTACATTAGACCAAAATTGGTTGTCCCCTTTATGTACCTCAAAATGTGTTTGACTGCTTTAAGGTGGCTCTGCTTTGGTGATTCCATATATCTACTTACTACTCCAACTGAGTAGCTCAAATCAGGTCTTGAGTGGATGAGATAGCGAAGACTTCCAATGAGGCGTCGATACTCGGTAGCATTGACTGGTACTCCATCTTCATCTTTTGTCAAACCCAATCGAGGTTCCATTGGATATTGAGATGGGTTGCACTCTCCCATGCCTGCTATTTGCAAAATCTTCTCAGCATACCCTGCTTGACCAATTGTAATTCCATCCTTGTCTTGGTGAACCTCTATACCCAAGTAGTAGGATAAGGTTCCCAAGTCACTCATATCAAAAGACTTCAACATCCTTCTCTTAAATTCAGCAACTAGTTCTTCACTTGAACCTGTCACAATTAGGTCGTCTACATAGACCCCGACAATTAAAGACCTGTTTGACTTTTGGAGTTTATACACAGCATATTCTTGTGGACATCTCTGGAATCCCATTTCTTTCAATGTTTTATCAAGCCTATCATTCCACGCCCTTGGAGCCTGACGTAGGCCATAGAGAGCCTTGTTAAGCTTGTAGACCATGTTTTCTTTTCCAGCAATGACAAAACCTGTTGGTTGAGTAACATACACCTCTTCCTATAGAATTCCATTCAAAAACGCAGATTTCACATCCAAGTGATGAACTTTCCACCCTTCACTTGCTGCCAATGCCAGTACCAAGCGAATTGTCTCTACACGAGCCACCGGTGCAAAAGCCTCATCAAAGTCTACACCCTTTTGCTGTACATATCCCTTTGCGACGATTCTGGCTTTGTGTTTTGTTACTTTCCCTTCTGCGTTCTTTTTCAACTTGAATACCCACTTCAGCCCTATCGCCTTTTGCCCTTTAGGGAGATGAGTCAATTTCCATGTATTGTTGTTTTCAACTGATTCCAGCTCTTGTTTCATTGCATTCCTCCATTCTTTGTCACCTGAAGCTTCTTCATACGTGGCGGGTTCTTCACCTGCGTACATTAGCATCTCTGAATCATCTTCCATCTCCTGGGTTTCGTTATAAATGTCTGTTAAGGCCCTAAATCCTCGAACAGGGGTATCGTCGTACGTGGCCCTGTCTACGGCTTCTTCTGATGCTGGACTCGTGGAGTCTCCTGGACTTATTGGGACTTCGCTCACAGGAGGTGAATGATCTACTGGTGTTGTGGATGATTGATACCCATGTGGTGGCAAACTAGGGCTTCCAATTTCTCCTAATGTTGGATCGAGTTCCTCCATCGTATCTTGGGCTATTCCTCCACTAAGGAACCTGACCCAAGAATTACTTAGTATTGGGCCTTCACAGGGGACTTTACCCCAATCCCATTTCCTTTTCTCTTCAAATACAACATCTCTTGATACATATATTCTATTTCGTTTAGGGCAATACAACCGGAACGCCTTACTTCCTACCTCGTTTCCCAAATACACCATTTGATCACTTCTATCTCCCAACTTTGTGAGTTTATTCGTTGGTATCTTTACGTGAGCTACACAACCGAACACTCTAAAGTGCTCCAACGTTGGCTTCATCTCCTGTAGAGCTTCATATGGAGTCATGTCTTTTACTCCTCTTGTTGGGACTCGGTTTAAAATCTGCACGGCATGGCGAACGGCTTCTCCCCACAGTGTTTCTGGGACATCCATGGCTTTCAGCAAGGACCTGGTGGTTTCAAGAATTGTACGGTTCCGGCGTTCTACCACCCCGTTCTGTTGAGGGGAATAGGGTGCAGTCAATTGCCTCTTGATTCCTTCCCGATTGAAGAACTCAGTGAATTCATTTGACGTGAATTCACCTCCTCAATCTGTGCGCAACAATTTTAATTTGTATTTCCCTTCACCTTCTACTTGATTCTTGAACTTCTTGAAGGCAGTGAAAGCTTCACTTTTGTCTTTGATCATCGACACCCACATGTATCTGCTGTAGTCATCTACCATTAGAAGGAAGTACCGGTTGCCAGCTAGTGTTTGGGGCGTTATAGGACCGCACAAATCTGCATGAATCAGTTCAAGTGGAGAGCTTGCACGCCACTGTGCTTCTTTTGGGAACGGATATTGGGTCTGTTTGGCAACTAAACATCCCTCACAAATCTGTGTGGGATGTTGAATTCTTGGCACTCCCCGCACCATATCCTTTACCACCATAGACTCAATAACCCGGAAGTTTACGTGACCCAATCTTGCGTGCCACAGCCATGCTGTATCATCTAGGCTTGCACTAAGGCACACAGGTTGTGTTGTATGCAGGACAATCTTGTACAACCTGTTCTTTGAACGTTGTACCTTCATTATCAACCTGTTGCTAACATCATGAACCCTTAAGAATTCATGAAGCATCTCGATCTTGTATCCCACTTCTGTCATCTGTCCTAGGCTAAGTATATTACTTTGTAAAGCTGGGATGTAATATACCTCAGAGATGACTTGTTGCTCTCCATTTTTGCCTTCCAAGAGAATTGTACCCCTTCCTTTGATCTGAACTTTAGACCCGTCCCCAAAACGCACCTGCCCTGTTACTCTTTCATCAAATTCTGCAAAGTACTCACGCACCCCTGTCATGTGGTTACTGGCCCCATTATCCAAGTACCATGTATCCTTCTCATTTTCTTTTGTTGCTGGGAACACTTTGTCTTCATTAAGCAGCACCATGTTGTTTGTCTCTTCACCATGGACAGTCAACAATAAAGCGGGTCCTTCTTCTTCCGTCTGAGTCAAGTTTGCCTCATCTCTTTTTTTTTCTCGGTGCTTTGCATTCAGATGCATAGTGACCATATTCTTCACAATTGAAACACATAATATGACTCTTATCCCTTCCTCTTTGGCGATTATTACTTGAGTCACGAGGCGCCGGCGAATTGCCCCGACCACCTCTGCCTCGTGCACTTCCTCTACCACGACCACCTGATCGACCCCCTCTTTCGTGATGAGACGAGCCCCGTCCTCTACCGCCTGTTGAGAACCCACCCCGTGAAGACTTTTGATTGAGCTTATTTTCTGTTTGAGTAAGTAACAAACTCGCTTCTCCACTTGTTTGGCTGCTACGGGACTTTAGTCGGTCCTCGTGAGCCTTAAGCCTACCAATTGCTTCTTCAAAAGGCATGCTATCCAAATCTGAGTACTGCTCAATCGATGCCACCAGCTGGAGTACTTATCTGGAACTGAATCAAGTAGCTTTCTCACCACTGTGCTGTCTTCAAGGGTTTCACCGAGGCTGCTAAACTTTGAAATCATCCCACTCAATTTTCCTGTGAACTCATCGATAGACTCTCCGTCTTTCATCCGTAGTGCCTCGAAATCACTTTTGAGTGTGTGTAATCTGGCCTTCTGTACCCTATCAGCTCCCAGGTACCTTAACTTCAAGGATTCCCAAACTTCTTTTGCTGTCTTCTTCTTTGCTACTTGCAACAGAATATCTTCAGGTACTGCTTGGAAAAGAAAAGCTCGTGCCGACTTGTTCTTCTTCTCATCCACAGCTTCTCCGGTTACAGGTTCAATGGATTCCCATATTCCCTGGGCATCCATTATAGCTTCCATCTTAATTGCCCACATGGTGTAGTTCGTAGGAGTCAACATCGGACATTGAAATGGCACTCCACCATTTTCTTTTGTAACAATTTGGCTGGATGTCGACATGGCTTCGTAGCGGATATATTTGGGCATGAACCGTGAAGCTCTGATACCAAATGTTGGAAATCAGACAGCAAAATATCAAGCTGCACACTTAAAATATGCAAACTGAATTAAGAATTAGAGGCACACACACTTGAAGAACCTTTTGGAAGTTGTTTATTCTAATGCTGTGCTTCCAAGTAAAACAGGGATCCAAACATTTATAGACTA